TAGAAGCCCGGTATTTAGGTCAATCAGCGATCAACATACATATTGACATTGACCTAATCTATCAATCAATAAGAAACTAAAGTAAGATCAAATTTCAAGTCATCCGGACAAGTAATCAAAATGGAAAAAAGGAGACAATAACAAGACTTTTACAGTAATAACCAATCACACATAAGGATAAGCTACTAACTAATTTGTGTAGAAAACCTTAAAGCTTACTTCCTTCTGAAGTTTGTACTGATGATGATGTCTATAATGACAACGAAAGCTCCACAATTAAATCATCCAGCTCAAGGTATACAACATCGTCAAAATGTCTTTGATTTATATATTTGTTTAACTACATATCCAGCGAACGGGAGTTTTATGAGTAGCAGTTGTTCTTGGAACCATAAAAGATTCATACTTCCAGCTAACCACTTTGTCCATCTGCCTTCTGATGAAGCTGTCAGTATGACTAATTTCAGTCAGTAAGTAATAGATATAGTCTAATTCACTAGATGACAAATTATAAGAAAATACTCTTCTTGCTTTATTTTTGGATGAAGCTGATTAAGGTTATTTTGTATGGCATAAATACGTGGCTAATAAAATCCATGTGCTAAGCTATAGATGTTACTTTTCCTGATACAATTCGCTTATTAAATTTTATCTTTTGCAGAAAAAATTCTCAAAAATTTAGTTTTTTGGCGTCCTCTTCATTACACAATAGATCATTAATAGTTTACCGTTTTCAACACCGTGGTCAAGAACAATGAATATGTTGTCAGCATAAGTGCAGTAAACAGTCAGTCCATTGATGATATATTTCAACACGCCATCTCGTAGTTGAGCAAGAAATTAATCTGCGAAAATTAAGCTATCTAATTAGCCTACAATGAATCGATCTACTTCTCCACAATGCACTTTATCTAAGAAGCAATGCGAAATCATAAAAGATACAAGAGGTTGATCATTGGGATTGACATGGTGATCTCAATACCAATTCCTGTTTCCTACACTTTCAAATATCGGAACGAACGCATTTTGTCAAAAGGAAAAACAACGATGGTTGTAGCGAAGAAATATTTCCCCCTTTCGATGAAATCATTCGCCTCACTTTACACTCACGACCATATACTACGAATGCACAGAACACTTCAACGTAGTTTCTGGTCAAAAGTAAAAATAAATTGAGTGATAAACGAAATTTATGTGGTACACATAAAAACAGAGAGATCAACGAATGATCACAAAGTGAAATATAGTTGCATCGCAAGAGAATTATCTAGACTGACCAGTCACCTACGATGGTCAGAGCATAGAACTGGCCGTATATACTCCACTTGACAATAAAATAATGGTTCGAACTTCTGATTTACTAACGCATCATCTGTGCTCATATGTCTTAACCATACGCCTGTCAAATGGTTTGGTCACTCAATACTCAAAATTTTGAAAGGCTTACAAAAGAGATCAAGTGTTTTGAGTTTATTAAGCGTTCTGTTATAAAGCTAAAGATGCATTTCCATTCTCTTCTTGTCAGTCAGGTTAAGAAGTTTCGCGAGCGCATTTCACAAACTGGTAATATGGTACAGCCAATGTACTAGGCTCAACAGCACCAAGTAAACTCATACACACAATAGTATGACCGAATGCTTCGGCTTGCCCTTCATGTAATGGCAATAGAATATGATTCGGGGATTAATGGCAAAAGAATGATCTATTTATGACGTTTTCCCCCCTTTTAATCCCCGCGTTATTTGTGTCTTAAATTTGTTTGAAGACAACTTTATCACTGTTGTTTACATGTCTGTATAAAAATATCGAGACTTGCGATTAGGCAGTTACAGCTGAGTGGTCTGAAGATTTTGATAAATTTGAACGTCAAGAAGGTTGAGGTTTAGATTACTTACACTTCAATTAAACCATACAACCATAATTTGCTACACCTTCGGGTCCGAAAACGTTTTCAGCTAAAGAGATTCAAGCATTTCCGCAATATTATGAAAAAAGGATGGGAGAAGTAACACTGAAGATTACTGAGAAATTCAATAATAAGCTGAATGACATCCAGGCAGAATCTACATCTATAAGTCCATGGATTTTGAAAAAGACTTTCAGTAAATAATTCACTGATGGACAGCGTGAAAATAAAATTCACTTTAAGGAGGCTGATAATATGAATCATATTACAATGGTGAATGAGGATGATACTAACCCCTATGTTATCCATCCCGAAGTAATAAATGATGCAAACATTGGATCAGTTCATGTTGGTGATAATCATGAAGTAGTTGTCGGCAGCTTGCAACATGAAACACGGTTGGTGCAATTCAACCTTTTTAAAACCAGACTTCATACTATGTGTTGAAGAAATGCTCTCAAGGAGTATCAGTGCAAGTTCATAAATTAACGTCAACAATTACACAGATACTCAAATGGAGTTCAAAAGTTCCTTGCACACAAATCAAATGAAATAGTTGCTTCACATGATACTGGATTACTATACCAAAGACAATTTATCGTCATACGCTTAAATGGGCACCAGTATCGCCTTTAAGCCAGTTCCGCTTCAGACGTCACCTCCACTAACTATTAAGCTACTGAAAAACCCCGAACCACCTCACATTCGCAGATTGCTCACATTGTATAACTCGGTCAGAAGCAAGTCAGTTTGTTAATAAACTGCAGTGTTGACTATTGACGTTTATCGTGAAATGTAGTGCCTTATCATTCAAACCAACAAAATTCAGGTTGATCTGGCTCAGCCTGTCATCTATAACACTTAGGATTCTAGGCAAACAGAATTAAAACAACAACAACAATGGCTATAAAAAGTGATGACTGGAGATATAGAAAAAAAAGAAATTCTAGCAACTTCAAAGATAACTCATTCATATATTGAACCGTATCCTATTAGTTTGTTAATCACAATCTAAAAAGCTTTTCCTTAAAAGAGTTAAGATGTTTAGGTCTATTATTGCGCATAAATCACTACGTCTAGATGTTTGTTTTCAAAGTAGTTTTAAGTGTTTCATCCAATACCTACTAAGTGACCCTAAAAGCCATTATTGAGATCATCAGTCACATTACTTTATTTTAAGAAAAAAGATCAAATAAGGAAATCCAATTTGCTGTATCGCTACCTTGTCGAATTCCCGAAGAAGGGTGACCTAAGTCTTTGCAAGAACTGGTGCCGAATCACGCTCCTGTCCACCCCAAGTGAGCAAAATATTATGCCGCATCATCCTGCACAGACTAAAGGATACGCTAGATTCAAAACTACGACCAGAACAGGAAGACTTCAGGAAGTAAAAATCATGTGCAGACCAAATCGCAACACTACACTGAGCATCATCATTGAACAGAATATAGAATGGCAGTCAACTCCATACCTCAACCTCATCGACTTTGAGAAGGACTTCGACAGCGTCGACCGACAGGTAATTTGGAAACTGCTTCAACACTACGGAATACCACAAAACTTTATCAGCCTCATTCAACAACTATATGAAGACGCCACATACCAGCCAAGTAATTCATAATGGGAGGCTCAGTGATGCTTTTGAAGTGAAGACAGGAGTGAAACAAGGTTGCCTACTATCACCCATGATATTCCTGACAGTGTTCGACTGGATCATGCAGCAAACAGTGGTGAGCGAGAAGAGGGGATGCGCTGGCTGGACTGCTGAAAACAACCTAGGAGATTTACATTTCGCCAACGATGACTTGTGTCTGATGTCACACAAACTTGAAGATCTAGAGGGGGAAAACTAACAAGTTGACAGAAGAGGCGAGACAGCGAAGATGGGACTTCAAGTGAAGTGAGTGTAGAGAAGACAGAGGTGATGAAGATACCCAAACAACAACAACAACAATAGGTACCAATCACCATGAACGGGAGAAACTTGAAGGAAGTAACCTCCTTCGCCTATCGAGGCAAGGCAGCACTGTTTCAACTGCAGGTGGCACAGATGAGGATGTCAAAGCCAGCCAGGATAGGAATGACAGCAAGACAGACGTTCATTAACCTGAAACTAGTGTGGAGATCATCTGCACTCAGCATGTGGAACAACATCCGGATTTCCAACACAAACGTCAAGTCAGTCAGTGCTTCTATGTGGTGGTTCAGAGACTTGGCGCGTTACGAAAGAGATTTTCAGCAAACTACAGATATTCGTCAACAATTGCCTACACTGTCTCGTTACTGAAGCTCAGATGGCCAGAATAATAAGAATAAGCAACAAGGAACTCTGGGAAGGAACCAACCAAGAAGCTATCACTCAACAAATATGGAGAAGAAAGTGGAGATGGAGTGGGTTGGGCATGCACTGAGAAGGCCGACTGGGGACATCATGCATCAGGCCAGGTCGTCGAGTGGAATCCCCAAGGGAAACGACGAGTTGGGCATCCCGGATGAGGGTGAGATGGAGGAGATCGTGCGAGGAGGAAATGAGAGCTTGTGGGCTTTCGTGGAGCTAAGTTCAAAAGATTTCAGAGAAGAGAGTTCACTAGAGACGTGCTAGTGAAGCCCTATGTTCCATTAGGAACCCAAGGGAGAAATAATAATAATAAATTTGCCATATCAGACTTGCTTTCATTGTATACTTGAATGTAAGTTTTACTTGCGTTGCAATAAACGTTTTTCAGCAGATGCATCCAGCTGAAGAGTCCCAAACAGGATGAAACGTGCATCTCGAATTCCATCGATACCCACTAAGTAAATTTTAATCTCTTTTAAAAGTTAGTTATGTTATCTCTATCAATGAATCTAGTTTTCAGTTAGTTATTCCAGTAACTTTTATCAACACGCAAGTTAAATATACAACAGTATCTCTACCATGATCACAGCAAAAGTGACTCATTAACACATATTAGTGAGATGAACCAATTATCCTATAATGCCATGATTTCTAATCATTTTTGAATCAGTATCAATTTTTAGGTAAAAATCTTCTCAAGGTCACAATCAGTACTACTAGATATGTTATTTAAGTAACATCAAAAATATAACGTACTTTATCTAATCGTACAGCTTGCATTTTATACTGTCTTTGCAATGTTTTCAACTCTAATTTACACTCTTTCAATTGTTTATTCAATTGTACAATTAAACTGTTTGCATCAGCTAGTGCTAATTGATTTGATTCCCACATTTCTATTAAACCTGATGATACACTTTTGTTTAAATTATGTAATTTCTTTGATGATAGATGATTGAATTTTGACTGGGTACTTGTTGTTGTAGTTGTTGTAGAATATTGAGGTAGTTTTGATTTGTTGGAAGAATTTGTTCTTTTTGGTAAAGAAGAATCTGTTTAAATGACAGGATGTATACAACAAAGAAAATTAATGAACATAATATTTGTTTTACTGTAACAAATAATTCACTTTGATTCATATATACATTGTGCTTATAAAGGCAATCAAGAAGTAGCGTATATATTTCCCTTATAAATTCATCTTTTCCATGATATTCTAATTTCAGTTTTATTGTAGGGAAGTTAATATATACCATTATTGTTCAGTGAGACTAAAAGACTGTAAATATTATCTTCAATAGTATTTTTTTAGTTCTACAGACTTCAGTTTGTGATAACTGTTAAACCTACGTGAAAATACAGTAAGTTACAATGAGATGAAGCCTAACAATGGGTTAGTATGGGTACTTACTTAAGTCAGCATGCGATACGGTGACAGGATTAACTTATTAGTAAGTGATCAACCAGAGAAAACTGAAATGCTTCGTTGAAAACTTCTTTTCATTTATAGTGTGCCACGTTTCAGTGTGAAGATGTAACTTATTGGTTAAGTCAGCCAGTTTTCAAATAATTGATCATATGCTCAAACCACGTTCTACCAACAGAGATTTGGATAGCATCATAACTCCTTACACAAAAAATACTCTCATTGATTTCAGCATACTAAATACTTTGAAACAATTAGTCCCTTTTATGAATTTGGATAATGTAATTAGAAGACGTAGATTATCTGAAAAATGTGATGTATTAGCGGTATACATTTCGAACAGTCTGATCACACATTTACTTCTTAAGGCATTATATATGAAATCTCATATTGATAGTTGCAGTGAGAGTTAATGGATTAGTCGAACTTCATGTTCATTCTTCATGTGTACTATCTGATATTTCATTAATTTGTCATATCAAGTTCGTCAATTTTTGTAGTTCTGTCATCATTAAATCGAAGGAGAAGACAAAACAGAAGCTGTCAAAATCTTGTACTAATGAGTCTCATGTTATCTCATTCCCAATTAATCCAGATAAATATGTGACTAATGTATCGTCTATTCAACTTTCGACGTGTGAGAAGGAGGCGCTTTCCCTTGGATTCAGTTTTTCGGTTCCCCACACGAAAGTTTCGGATTTGGCTATTGATGCCCAATTTGAAAGTCTTTATGATCAGTTATTTCCCCTTGTTCCAACCTCCTCAGATAATCAGAGTTGGTTTAAGGCTAAGCTGGTGGATATTGCCCATCAGTTCCATAGTTCAGGCCCAAGACAGCGAAGTATCCTAACTTCACAACATTTCAAAGCCCTAAAAGGACTTCGAAATAGATCTGATATTATCATTCTCAAACCCGATAAAGGGTCCGGTGTGGTTGTGATGGACAAATGTGATTACAAAAACAAGATGATGTCCATCCTTAGCGATGAAAGTAAATTTATGGCTGATGTTCCATCAGACGACCTTAGAAAATTAGAATGCAAAGTAACATCTAGTCTAGTAAAACTCCTGAATATCAATGTTATCAACAAGGAAGAATTTGCTTCCCTCAAACCAATGGGGTCTGAGCTACCTAATCTGTATGGATTGCCTAAAATTCATAAAACAGATAATCCTTTACGTCCTATACTCTCCATGTTCCGTTCACCTACACATAAAGTGGCGAAATGGTTAGCAAAAACTCTAATTCCTATTCGAAATGATTTATGTAAGTTTTCTTTAAAAGATACTTTTGAACTTGTTAATTATGTCAGTGATATTAATATCAAAGATAAGAGATTGTATTCATTTGATGTCAACTCCTTATTTACTAATGTACCCCTAATTAAAACCATTGACATTCTTTGTGATCATATATCTTCCAGTAATCCTTCTTTCCCTATCCCCTCAACGTGTTTGAGAGAGCTGTTATTATTGTGTACGATAAAGTTCATTTCACATTTGAAGGTGAACATTTTCGACAAATAGATGGTGTGGCTTGGGAAGTCCTTAGGACCATTGCTAGCTGATATTTACATGTCACACATTGAGGCTTGACCGGCGATCTCATCAATAAAGTTACTCTCTATAAAAGATATGTTGATGATATAATCGTGATATGTGATAAGCATGAAGATGCAACATGTTTGTTAGAAAGACTTAACAACGTACAAAACAACATAAGCCTGACAAGTGAAGAAGAAAAAGAAAACCGTCTGCCATTCTTGGATATACTCCTAAGTCGTAGAAATGATGGTTCAATAAAACGGTCGATCTACAGGAAACCTACTTGGACAGGTCAGTATTTAAGTTTCCATAGCTTTTGTCCAACCCAATACAAGCGAGGTTTGGTAACTTGTCTATTTAAAAGGATCGAGCGTATTTGTACGGAGGACTCAATGGATGATGATATCAAAATACTAACGGAAACATTAGTGGAAAATGGATATCCATTGAAGTTCATAAACCGCTGCAAAAATCAGCGAGGATTCAAACCTGATCTGTACTCTGTTTCGAAGAAATGCGTTTACATCGCGTTACCATACAGAGGAGAATCTAATAGCATAATATTAAACGAAGGTTAAGGTCTGCTGTTAGCAAAACGTACTATGCAGCTAAGCTTATCATAGTTGAGAAGACCAAACACCTGCTGCTACCTAGACCTCAACGCTGTATAAACGATTGTGTCACATCCCATGCGTTTATAAATTTACATGTGTGTGTGGACAAACATACATAGGGAGGACGAATCGTGATATGCACTTGAGGGTAGGGGAACATGTTCCAAAGTGGCTACGAAAGCAGCTGGATTCACAAACATTGATAAGCGCAGATGGCAGACAACCATCATCATCCATTGCGAAACATATCATTGATAAGAGTCACAGAATTGATATCAAGACAGCCTTTACAATTTTGTACGAAACTGTCAGGGGCGTATACTTAAGTTTGTTGAGGCGCTAGCCATAAATAAATTTAACCCCCCATTGTGTGTGCAAAAACAGTTTGTCCTTACATTAAGCCTACCTTGGTAATGCTTATTTTATCGTATTACCAAGATTGTCTTCAAGTCTTATCTTTTATTCCTCTCATTATCTTTCTTATTATTGAATTCCTTTATGTCATATGTGTCCTTCCCCCACTTCCAGTTTTCATATATAATGCCTTAACAAGTAAATGTGTGATCAGATTGTTCGAAATGTATGGAGCTAATACATCACATTTTTCAGATAATCTACGTCTTCTGATTACATTAACTAAATACTTTATCATTTCGACTATCTGTGATAGCCATGGTTTGGTAAAATATTATTGGCACTAGTTGATGATTGAAGGTGAAATGTAAACTTGGTCCACGATTGGATTCAAATCAGCGACCATAAGGTGCTCCATCAACTGAGCAACGAGATCCGAGTGCTGACCAGATTTTTATTTCACATCAATCACTAAGAATTTTGCCCGACTACCATGTGAATTCGTGACGCGTTCCTACCGCCTCATCGTACCCACACTGGCTGCTTAGATAGTAACGCGTCACGAATTCACATGGTAGTTGAACAAAACCCTTGGTGATTGGAGTAAAATAAAAATCTGGTCAACACTCCGATCTCAAAATTCAGTTGGTAGAGTATCAGGCCAAAAACTTAGTGGTCGCTGGTTCGAATCCGGTAGTGGTACAAGGTTTCATTTCACCTTCAATCATCACCCAGTATACATCCCATATAGTTGCGAATCACTGCATTTGGGAAAAAACGACTCAGTTTTTTCCTTGGATCTACAACACTTTCGCATACATAGTATCAAAGCTATTTTATACATTAGAAACCACACGACAAATTCGTAAGGTTGATTATGAAGTTACTAATATGCACAAGACCTTCACTCAGAGGCTTCCAGGATTCAATAATTCATTGCAGAAGTCGCGCCTCTTTCGAATATATGATACTAAATACATTCAACTCGGTCCTGAGTCTTTCACTACAGAATACCCTCTCCGTCGTAGACCTTTTACTTCGTGGTCAACTCACCTTCCTCCCGCTAAAAAACGCTACAAATAAACAACGGTTATAATTACGATTAGGAAGTTATACAACGCCAAAAAATTATGAATATCCTGCTAGTTTATACACACACACATCACATTATTGCGTCTTTTTTCCAGCACTGACATCCAACAGTTTAACATTATGATGAAAGGAGCCTGAAATCTTTAAGTCGTCCACTTGTTAGTCTTAGAGGCACGAAGTAATGACAGTCACGTAGACAACATGCCATGTAATATACTTAACAGCACTATATAGAGTTCTAACCAGCCTCTTAATATCACTATTTTATCTCTTATAATAATTAGGCGTCACCACTTTATGAGCATTTGTAAACGTCTTCCCTCAAAACCTTATTCCATACTCAGTACATCCTTTCAACTAATAACTTATGGGGTTACTTTATGTGCAACGGCTGATTGCGATAATGACAAGTACTTTCATTTCACAAACGGCAAATCAAGAAATAATAGGTTATTGGATACTGTGATATAGAAATTCAGAACACTGTGTAAATCCTCTAGATGAAACTCCTAAATAAAGAACAGACTGGATTAAACAACATGGATGGACATGTACCACACTGGTTCTTAGTGCCGCATATCAATGAGGCAATATCCCTAAAAATGAGAGTGAAGTACTCACGGTTAACTTGCTTCTAGATGGATTTTCCTGGTATCTGGTGAGAAAGAATGATCTACACGGGCAATAAAGTCGAAAGCGAGGATGGACACCCACTTAAGTTATTCAATCATAATATTACTTTGCGAAAAACTGAAAGAATTGGAAGAACTTCAGCCACCAATTATGAAGTGCTCATCACAAGACCTGATTTTCCAAGGTTCGATCTATTGTCAATTCACAGGTGAGTATTCTTGAGGAGTCGCGAACTATGACGAAGCACATGTGCAATGAACCTATATTTCCAGTAGTTCTCAATCTATATCAGTTCACGCTTAAAACTGTCTCTAAAGAATAGTAACAAACTAGTGATACAATGCAAAGGATAACCATAATAAATTGAAACTGATCAACATTTCTAAAC